AAAAAATAGCAGTAAAACATGATATTGTTTTAAAAGATCCTTATGGACTTTTCCTTGGCAAAGCTGCTATCTGCCTTTAGATGTAGAACGATATTTCTATCATTACCTTTTGTAGGTTAGGAATATTCATGTTGAAAAGAATGAGAACACCACTCATCAATATTTAGATTTGAAAGACACATGAGGAGGATATCTATATTAAACTCCCTCTCAAAGGAATAGGAACACATTTAAAATTTTAGAAATAGAGCTACTATTTGCAAACCTAAATATAGATTTATCCCATATATCATGAAACATGTAGTACATTTTCTAAATTATTAGAAGAAATTTTAATCAATCTTTACCATCTTTCTTGGGATTGTCATTTAGAGTATTTTGGGTAATTAATTTGTCCAACACTTTTTGATTACCTCACACACAAATGCACATATGTATATGTTTCTATAAAGATGAGATTTTTCATACATAAAAGACAAGTGTATTCTTTTAATGAGAAAGGTCCTATAATTTAAGGGCAAAAATAAATTGCTCAGTAAGGACCCATGTTTGCCTCTCTCCAGTGAAATTCTGTCTCTCTCTGCCTCATCAAACAGCAACCACAATGTGTAGGGAGAAGATGTCTGGAAATTAAATAAATTGTGCCATGCAGAGGAAATAAAACCAAGCAGTTCCATAGCACGACATAGTGAAATGATGATAAAGCCAGATTTTACAGTGCTTCCATCTGTTATGTACTTGTCATATGTCCATTGCCATCCTGAATCGTATGATACTCTATAAATCCACTTTTGACTGAAAGTTACAGAAAGAGCCTATGCTACTGCAAATTTGAATTTGAAGGGGACATATGCATATGTACTCATATATTCAGGGCTAAAAGAAAAAGATTATATTACAAACTTAAACACTGAGACACTGATAAATGACAGAAATGTTTCCATTTAGAATTCCTGACTATATAACAGTGTTTAATTCCATTTTTACTTACTTTATTTTCTAGAACCTCTTAAAACATGACCCTTTGTTATCTTAGCTCATTGTCCTGATAAATTAAATTCTCTAGGTCCCAGACCTGGTTTATCTAATCTAAGATACCCTGCCCAATTAATTATCTTTTTTTTTTTTTTTCCATCAGGATTTATTAGCTGAAGCATAATGACATACTGAATGCAATGCCTGACCAACTTAGAAATCAGGCACGAAAACTTGTGTCTCACTCCAGAAAGTTTGTATAGGCACAGCTTCATTTTCCAAATTCTTGCCGCAATATTCTCTATTTTGTGTTCCCTCTCCCCAGAATTCCCATACTTCTAAGCAGATCTACTTCTTCCCTTGCTATCCATGTCAGGCAGCTTTCCTCTCCTTTCCCCTTTCAGCTAGGAACATCCAACACCTTTCCTGTAAAGCCTGAATGAAGCATGTTAAGGCTAGAAAAATAATTCAGGAAACAGCAATGTTGAAAAATATGAAGTCTGTATTTAGCTGCATGAACCTGGGCAAAGTGGGACAAATTTTCAGTAGATGGTAAAGGGCACAGCACTGATACAACAGCTCCTCTTTGCCAAATTTATTTGAAAAACATGATTCATAATTATTTTAAATTCAGACTAGCAAATATTTTTCTAGGCTGATGAGTGAATAGTTCCAGAATTTTCCAAAATTGTTCAGCTCAAGTAGTTACATCTAGGCAAAATCTGAAGCATCTGAAAATAAGTGTCAGGAAACACAAATAGGTACTTCTCCTTATCCTTTCTCCAAAAAAGCTGACCTTGAAAACCTTCTTACACAGACAAAAGTAAATGAAGCATGTTCTTCTTACATTCTGCAGCTTTTAATTTTCATATGAGGTGAACAATCATCATCCAGTACTGAAGGCAGGTGTGCTGGGGATGGGCATGCTGTGTAGATTTCAGCACAGTGCTATTTCATGAAGACATCAAACACTTGCCCCAAAGAGAAAAAAGGCATCAAACAGTTGTAACTCTCTCAGAGGAAGAAAAGCAACATTACTGAAAATTTTAGTGATCTAGAGTTTATCTTTATTTTATTCTCATGTACTCAGACAGGTGGACTTTATAAAAGAGGTCTTGAAGCTCGGGTCACACAGGGAGCAATAAAGCAAGTGTTCAAATACTGCTCTGTGCCTGTATTTCAGGCATTATCTATTATTTTACAGGGACAAAAAAGAGAACAACAGTTCCTCATCTGCTCCTCCATATCAGAGATAACACTTCAAGAAATGGTGTCAGTGTCAGTTGTGATGATAGATTTTGTAACAGGGAAGCTGTTTCACTAGGAGACAGACATAGGTCATCAACCTGTGACTCACACAAACATGCTCAGAGATGTTAATGTAGGGAGCAAAACCAAACAATTTCCTGAAGATTTCTGTCATTTTTACAGATACTAGAGAAAGTTTCTACAGAATGGAAATGACATCTTGAAAGCTGTCAAATTCTTAAAGTTCTGACACATCTAAAAAACTCCAATCTTCTCCCTGCCACCACAAAAACCCCCACCAAAACCACTTGCTGCTAGGAAATTGAATCAAAGTTACCAATGATACATCCTCATTTAAAAGCAGTAAAATTTGATCCTGGGGACAAATGTGGGAGTTCTTTTGTTTGTTTGTTTGTTCGTTTGTTTGTTTGTTTTTAAAGCATGTAGGACCCTAAGATGAAAATTGGGAATAGTTTTGTCTTCATGTCCTAAAACATTTCCAAGCTTTTATTTTCTTATCCTGTAAAAGAATGAAAAATTGAATTCTAAATTATTATTTTTTTATGAAATGGTAATGTAAACAGAAATCAGAGTGACTCCAAGCACTTCAATTCAAATTCTCAGCCATTATTTTTATAGTATCTGAAGGGTGTAAAAATTTTATAAAATGCACCAAAGTTCAGAGGTAAATGTAATCAACAGCTTTTGCACCTCTGGCACAATGGATTTATGTACTAGCAATAAAGTTCACTTTTACAGGGGAAAAAAAAATTAGACTTGTTATTGTGGAATTAACTGCTACAGACACTAGCAACTAGATGGAGAGCTGCTTCCTTCCATCCTACCTACTAAATATTTTGGCCTCTCTGTCTCATGAAAAAAACCCCAACAAAAATTCCTATACACAACAGTGATATGAAGAACTTGAATAGAGCAAGTGGAACATAGCTGGAGTGAAACACTTATGATAACATTGAATAACTCACATTAAAAGCAAATAATATTTATCAGTAGAAAATAATAACTTAAGAATGATGGACATATTCAAGAAATGCAAACAATTAAAGCTTTGTTCTTAAAATGTTATTACAATTATCTTCATCATCCACCCATATAACATAAAACGTAGCTTCTGTTGGCTCTCACTGAAGATTTGGATATTAGAGGATGCTATATTCTACCATTGTAAGTACTAAGAATTTGTGGGGGGAGTGGTAGAGGAGGAGCACTTTTCAGGACAAGAATACATTTGAAACTCTGATATCCTTCCTGGATTCTATCTTAATTTCATGCATAGTGAGATGAATAGAAGGCTATCATTTCATTTCAGTGGACAAGCAGGCAAGTAATCAGACCCTAGATACTGTTGCCGCAGTGAGCTTCATACTGAATTTCAAAGGAGGAAACTTTCACAGGCCGATGTTAGATATTGTTCTGGAAATTGGTTGGGGACAAGTTATGCACACAGCAATGTGGTAATATTTTCCCAATGGAAGGAAAAAAAGCCCCAAACATATTATCACTGAAATTACGAATCTGATATCTCCAGCAGCATAAGGCACAAGCAATGCAAGGTAACTCTTCCATCTTGGTCTCCTCTGTGCTAACGTTATCAGGATTTCTCGATGGTTCTTTTTTCTTTATCTTTGAATGAAGTAGGTAGAAGATGTAGTGTTAAGTCTTATACTTGGGACTTGATATCATAAAAAGATGAAAATCCCAAACAGAAGTAGAGCCAAGGACTTCAGAATGCATTCTTGCTGACAATTTTTACATAGCAGACTTTTAATGCCTCAAATAATCATTTTTCTTGTCATTGTTCTGCAGGAGTTACCATTTTAAAATTATGAATGATATTAAATAGAAATATGGTTTGGGTTTTTTTTTAAGGATTTTGATAAGGCAGTTTTCTTGACAGAAGATATTGGCTAGAATTTGGCTGAGTTAGATTTATGAGACAGGTTACTAACTCCAGTGGGAAGGGTCAACCAAGAACGATTATGAACAAGCCCTGTAGATAAGGAGGAAAGTTTCTTACCTCTGTAACGTTGCACATCCTGTGTTCATCAAGTCATATGTGGGTTTTTTCATTCATTCGTGAAAACTCAAAAAGAAACATCTAAATAAAGAAAACTACATGTCATTGAAGCATAGAATAAAGTTCCTCCTTTTTGACTGCTGATGTAAGACTTGATAAACGTTGTCTAGAGGCTAAAACTGCATATCTAGACCACCTGAGATGTATCTTTGAATCCTAAATAAACCCTGGCTAGTTTTGGAGGTATGTTCTGTGTGGTGATCAGGTAGTATTGATATTTTGACACACAGTTAAGATTTCTGCTGTGGAAAAAAAAAAACCAACCAACCAACAACAACCTTAAGACCACAGTTTGGGCTCCACAGCATGCCTAAGAATTTTAACATGAAAAACAGCAGCTGTTTTTTCCTATTATGACTTCCCAGTTGGCAGATTTTCTGCTCAGAGGGCCTACCACCTGGTCTTATGCCAACAGAAGTAGGAACAGTTGGGCTTAGTCTGTGATTAACAGAATAAATTCTCCTTCCTGCAGATAAAAAGTCTAGATTTTATCAGAAGGGATATGTCACAGAAAAGTGATGACAAAGCCAGGTTCTCACACTCGGGTGCACTGAGGAGGTGACTCTTTCAGAGGAAGATTCCACCCTGTTGACTGCAGACAGTGCCTGCAGCACCAGCATCCCCCCAGGGCTGCCATCAGCTGCCCAAGCAGTAACTCTCCTCAGCTCCAGGTTCCTGCCCTAATTCCTGCTGCTCTGGGCTCTCATCCCTGTAAATCTAGTCTCCAAAAACATAACTGACCTAGACATGTCCTTCACTCTTGTTAAGACACATCTTTGGAAAATCTTCAGATGTATGTACTTGAAATGCTGGGGTTTCAGCCCCAAGTGAAGGTCGACATACAGGTGATTCCCACAGCCCTTCACAAAGGGGGGGTGAGTTTACCTTTAGGCTTCTCTCCAGGGTGGGGCCAGCCTTGCAGGGAGAGCCATTGGGTAAATGAGCCCCAGGTGTCCTGCTTTAAGTAAACAAGGGTCAGGTGTCCCACTGAGGGGATAAAAGCTGGGACCACCTGCAGGAAGGGGTAGTGTCTGTCTGTGAGGTGGATGTACTTTGCAGACTCTACTGTGGGGAAGGCCCTCCTGTCTCCCTAGGACTGGGCTCCAGTCAGGTCTGGCTTTGTAGATGTGGACTGTGTAGAAATTTAGTATGTGTCTTCCTTGGTCTTATTATTTGGTTTGTTCACTTGGTTGTCTCCTGTCCCTTCTATGAAAAACTGCATTTCACCATTTATTCCACCCATTGTTGGTCGTGTGGTGTTGTTGTTGGGGTCAGTGGGATTGATGTCAATTATGTATAATCTGACTTGTTTGTACCCCCAGCGCTCACCCATGTACTGACCCTTTTGTATCAAATACAATTTAGTTATTGGTTCATCTTTATGCTGGCTGTGTCCTTTATGCTAGGCCTGATAATTGGCAAAACAGTACTGTATGATAATAGGATTGCATTGTCTGTAAAAACAATCTTGCCTTACTCTTCTCAGGGTAAGCCACAATTAGTCTTATATTTTACTGTTACAAACTTTGCTATTCTGGTGATCACTAATATTCAGCAACCATTTCTTCCCTGCACAAAGTAAAACACAGTCACAAAATTCAGGAAATGTGAATGAATACGCTTACAGAGTTTTCACTAGTTTGGTTCATGATGAGGATCACCTGACTACTTCCACTTTATCTGAATGATGAGAGCAAGTGTCCATTAGAGTTCCTTGGCAGAGTTCACTCTCTGCAGGCAATATCTCATTTTCCTTTGAAAGGAGGGGAGGCAAATGGCTACATGTTATGATCACCTAGCTATTTCAGATGTTCTCTGTGCTTATCTGATTAGGATCTGTATTGTCTGTAGGTTTTTTCTGATATCATTTCTTTCCTTTGGTTGCTGTAATCACAAATTGCTTTGTTTCGGGGAGGCAACATACCTTCAGAGGCGAGAAATCTACTTCTCCAGAAAACGATCTAGACCAGGAACCCAGTGCAGGCTGTTAGAGAGCCTGGAAAACCATGATTTCTTTCCCCTAAATACCTGTGAAGTTTGGAAAGATGCATCACCTTATACAGATTACATACCTTCATGCAAGCAATGACATTACTGCTGCTTCCTTTCCTCTTCCGCATGCCTCACTACATAGGCCATAGACTAAAATTGGGGGGAAGTTGATTCATATGCTTCAGATGTAATCCCTGTTTCTATTTTTTATGAAAGATTAAGGGCAAGCCTCTAGCATAAATATCTCTTTTCTTGCCTGCCTCAGCTATACCTATTAATAAATACATACTTATTACTAGTGGTACAGTACTGTCTCTCTCAAGGCCATGATAAAATTTACCTGGGCTGTAAATCAGTAGGGCTGTGAAACATAAGAGTGCTGAACTCATGTGAAGATCTCATCCATGCTACATTCTACATTATGTCCATGCATGCAGCTGCTATGGTTGCCATCTGAAGTTTTTTCCCAAGGTTTACATTGGGTGTTACATTCCCCACCACACTTAAAAAAAACAACAACAACAAAAAAACCCAACACAGGCATAAAACCCCTCAAAACCCACAACGCATATGCAGGGCTCTCCTTTGGTGACAGATTCTAAGTTCTGGGCCATTGTCAGTCATAAGAAAACATTTCCATAGGTACTACAAGCACTAATGCTTACTGAGGACCTCAGCAAGCTCCCACAGAAGCAGTTGGGATTCTTTCAGATGACTTTCTTGTGGTTCAAACCAGGCCCTTAAACACAGATATTACTAAAAATCGCTGTTTCCAGTGAGGACCTTCTATTGTTTCTATATGAAGTATTTATAAGCAAAAAAAAAAAATTAACTGCATTTTGCAGTGACTCGGTAAATAACTCATGTCACGCTCAGTGCTTCTGGGCGGTAATTAAAGATTTAAGGCATTCAACAAAAATGTCACTGCTTAATTAAAACCAATAAAAAAATCTTTCCAAATTAAAATATTTGCCTGTTGCCACTCAGACTTTGTTCTAGGTGTACTATAGGATTTTTCTAGCTAATCTTACTTAAAGCAATCAGTAAGCTATTTTTTCCCTGGATGAAAGCTTTAAAAAATCATGTTGCCTTAATCTTCACACAGTTAAGAATTTTAATGTGTATTTATTCTTCAAATGCGTGGTCCCATATGCATTATTTAATTTCATTAGAGATAATGGGCAAATTGATACTCACTGTACTTTCATACCGCTTGTGTTTCTTTGTTGGGGTTGTGAAGCTATAATCTGGTTGTTATCAGACAGAGCATAGACTGTGTTGGCCTCTCTGACTGGCTCTCGGTAGCTCCTTGGTCTATAAAACATGTGCACACTCTTAGTATCTCCGAAAAAACAAAATCTGAAATGACACTGACTGTTTAGTTATCCTTGCAGAAGGTTCAGTTTTGTCCCATGCTGAATAACCACATACCCAGTGAAGCAAAAGAGACAGAGTGCCATGAAGGAAGGAGAAACCTGGAATCCACATGTATATCCCAGTGGGAAACATGAAGTTGGATCCTGTCATGACCCGAGTTCAAAGGAAATAGCTGATGTCTTCAAGATCTTCAAATGATGTATTCTGGGGGCTTGGAACACAGAAAGATTTGGAAGCCTAGTCCAGATAACCTAGTGGAAAAAAGGTCACATTAGCCTTAATTTATAAGCTTGAAAGTCTATCCCTTTTCTTTCCAATTCCTGATTTTGGAGCTATGGACACAAAATCAGGAAGACAAATTATTTTTAGAAATACCTTCTCAGGTAAGTATTTCTATAGCTTCCTTTTTCCTGGATGAACAGTACTTAGGCCCATTCTGAGATAAGCAGCAGCCAGGGAAAATGACAATTTAAGAACATAAAACTTATGTACTTCTTATGTACAATCACCTAAGTGAACTAATATATTTTCACAGAACAGATTTATAAAGTAGCTTATTCACCAATATAATCATATCTTAAAATATTCCTCTAGCATAGATATTTGAGCTAGTTCTGCTTGGGCTAGCTCCAGCACTGTCATCAGTATAACTATTCCAGCAAAATACTTTGTTCAATTCTGCTGAATCCAAGTCAGAGACTTTCTTGATGTTTAAATATCCCATCATTGATTTCTTCTTCTCTATTACTTTTATTTTCACGTTCAAATAAGCTTAAGTAATTAGTAGGGTAGGCTTTTTCTTTTGCATAACTGTGATGGCAAGTTCAATCGTATCATGACATTTCAGGTGTTAAGTATTCTAGATTTTAATTTCAGCTAATAAAAGATGAAAGGATTATTAGTACCAAATACTTCGGCTGACCCTAGAGTACTGTATTTCGTTTTCCACTTTAAATGGAGGTGTGTACATTTTCATTAATTTCTGTCTTTGCTTTTTTGGCATCCTAATTTCCTCATAGGCTTCACATGTTTGGAATCTTTAAGAAGCCTGATGTAATCGGTTTTGGTGGGTTCTTTTGATGTATTCATTGTATTTATTTGTATTTGCTATATCTATTTTTACTTTCAGAGTACTCTTTGTTCAGAGACAGACATTAATTGCCCAGTGTTATTTCCCTGGCATGTTCATCTTTAAGAAATCTGCATCCTTTATTTGTAATTTGAGGGGCTTTTAGACTATGTCAGTTCTTAATATTTACCTTTGTTCTATGATACCCATGACTGCTAAACACAATGAATATGTGTCCTCTTATATTCGGTGGCTGTGCTACTGCTGCTTTTCAAGATCACTCCTACGTTAATAAAGGTTAAATAAAGAATAGCTTTTTAGAATAGTAGAGCAAAACCCATTTGAAATGCTAATAAAATATCTCTGATTCTTTTGTACTGTGCTATTGACTGGCTGATACATAGCTAGCTGAAGTCTTATGTTTGGCCAATTTTTTCTGCCTCTTAAAATCCAACTCAGAATTATGCAGTTCTGAGCAAAAATACTGTGCAGAGTACTAATGGCAGCAAGTTGGCCATTAAACTTGTCTGCCTACTGCAAACTGCATAGTCAGACCAAAAATTCAGTGCTGTGATTTATGGCAATAAAATCTGCCAGGACACACACACACAAAAAAAAAAAAAAAAAAAAAAAAAAAAAAAAAAGAGTGAGCACTGAAGTGGTGCTGCAAGTCAAAGTAGATGCATATTTCCTTGTTTTGGGCACTATAGAAGTTCACCTTCTGGTACCTGTCATCTGTGATTGCCCAGTGGTCCACGGCAAAACACAGACACCTTCCTTTCCCCAAGCAAAGCCAGAATTTGCTGAAGAGTGGATTTTATCCCCAAGAAAAAGAAAAGACGTTTGTTTTGTGGCATTTTTAATAGGAATAAATAAATTTAAATAATTAAAATTTGAGTGTTGAGTAAGCTATTCACAGACCTGTCAGAATGGCAGATTCGCATAACCCCTCCTCCATACAGAATCCTAGAATGGTTTGGGTTGGAAGGGACCTTAAAGACCATCTAGTCCCAACCCCCCTGCCACAGACAGGGACACCTTCCCCCAGCCCAGGTTGCCCAAAGCCCCGTCCAACCCGGCCTGGAACACTGCCAGGGAGGGGGCAGCCACAGCTGCTCTGGGCAGCCTGTGCCAGTGCCTCACCACACTCACAGGGAAGAATTTCTTCCTTACAGTTAATCTAAATCTGGCCCCTTTCAGTTAAAAGCCATTACCCCTCGTCCTATCCCTACACCCCCTGATACAGAGTCCCTCCCCACCTTTCCTGTAGCCCCTTTCAGTACTGGGAGGCCACTATAAGGTGCCCCCAGAGCCTTCTCTTCTCCAGGCTGAACAATCCCAACTCTCTCAGCCTGTCCTCATAAGGGAGTTGCTCCAGCCCCTGATCATCTTTGTGGCCTCCTCTGGATCTGCTCGAGCAGGTCCATGTCCTTCTTCTGTTGGGGCCCCAGAGCTGGACACAGCACTGCAGGTGGCGTCTCATGAGAGTGGAGTAGAGGGGGAGAATCCCCTCCCTCAACCTGCTGGCAACAATCCTCTTGATGCAGCCCAAGGTACAACTGGCTTTCTGGGTTGTGAGTGCACACTGAACAACGTATCTTGTTGAATATTAGCTTTAATCATAAAAGAAATTATAAAAACACCATTAGAACTCCATCCCTTACTATAAAGTAAATGAAATTGATTAAAATGTTTCAATACTTGTACATGCCTTCTTTCCATATAAAAAGAACCTTCATATTATATATGTCAGCCAGCCAACCCTCATTTATAATTTCAAGTCTTTATTGACATTTCAAAGCTAAGATCTGTGAAATAAAGAATATGGTTGAAGTTATGTTGAACTTTCACAACAGTGGTTAAAATAGAAGATTTCAAGGTTTAATTATTTGTATGAGTGTATCTCAGCATTATCTTCTTAAGTAATATTGAGAAAGGTTAACTACCATATTAGTGCTGATTTTTAGAAAAATGTCGGGTTTGAGGAAGCTGAATAGAAGGGAGTAACATCAAGATGAAATTACCAACAAAAAAATCATTCTTTCACTGAAGTAAGCCCCACAGACATTGTAATGTAATTTCTTGTTAATGAATGCATTAATAGAACTTTACCACAGAATAACCCTCTGAATTTTAAACTATCATAGATCTTTGTTCAAACTGTGTGTGACAAAAACATTTTATATCAATTATATATTTAATTTGCACAGTTGGATGAAATAATGATAGATTCCGACTTTATTTCCCAGTAACTCAGAAACAGTAATTAAAATAATTAAAATTCTTTCCACAGCATAAAAATTTGACAATGCAATGTCATTTGCAGATCCATCAGGAGGACCCCACTGATGTGGTGGGGGTTTCATATCTACATGGCTGCTAAGATTCAAGGTTTGAGAGAGTGAGAATTTATACAGTGAGTGTCTGAACCAGAGAATACTGTTTCCCTCCCTTCTTGCTCACGTACCCAAGAGTTTAGTGTGCAAGATGAACTCAAGGGGTTTCTATTGGTCATCCTCCATTGCTCTTAAGCAAAGAGCAACGCAGGCTAACACTGCAAGGCAGCGCCTAGCCCCATGCACTAATTTCAGCATTAGTAAGAGGCTTACCTTCTGCAGACCTGAAGGTTATACAGGTGACTTACCAAGAGCCCAAGGGCCACATCCAATTTGCATATAAACTATAGACATTTATTATAAGTGCATATAACCATATTTGGTATGCAGATGGAAAATAATGTATAGTGGTTCAAGTTCATTAGCAACACCAGCCAGCAGTTCTGCTCTTTTGTCCCCATCCTTCAGTTACAGGAAGAGGGCAGCTGGAGCCCACATTATGTGACTCAGCAGGTCTCATCTGGCCCTTGGGCTGCACATTTCGTGCCCCCGCTCTACTGTTTGATGTGCTGAACAATCTCCGATTTCCAACTGGGGATGTAAACTGATAATGAGATTGCTTTAATGCTCTAAATCTCAGCGGCGTTATCACAAAGGCCATTTTCTGGCTTTTGCAGTTGCCTGAAAGGGAAAGGGAAATAAACAGCAGAGGTGAAAACAGAATTGTTGTATAAGTTACAAGACAAACACAAGCTGCTGATTCAGAAGAAAGCATGAACGCACTGCAGTCAAGTAGCAATTTTGTTTTCTTCTGATACATCACACTGAGTATTTATTTAATATGCTGTTCAGGTGGACAGGCTCAGAGGAAGTTGCATCATATTTCCACCAGAGTCTTGGGAGCAGCAAATAAATACCGCAAGTGCCGTACAAACATTAAAACAGCATAGTATGCCATGCAATCATTTTGTGTACAATCACAGTATGCCAAGAGATCTGCTTTACATCAGCAACAAAACCAGTGATCTGTTAAATGCAACATTAAACAATCCACTATCACTTCTCTTTCCAGGTGTTATGACAGTCCATAATTACTTCTCTAATTCTCACTTAACATTTGGGCTATAGCATAGTATCTAGTTGTCAAGCATCATGTAATTCTATTTTAAAATTTGCTAAAGAAGTACAGTCTTGAGAAGCTGCAAACAGCAGGGGCCAAATTTTAATAAGTATCTCTGTTAATGTCACTTCAGTTACATGATTCCCACAATTTTAATCACGGGGGGTCTTTAACATGCCTTCAGGGACACACAGTTAAAGCCAAGAAAAATGTCACAATTATTAACTGACTACAAAGAAAGAAAAGTAAGGAAGTTGTTTAAGCATTGCCAGAAAATTACTCTCTTAATTAGAGAATTAGAACATTGTTATACTTTTCTGTAGCAAGTAATGACATATATATTTATACCAAGATAAACATACAAGACACTGACCTTTACTAACATTAGCTGGCAATGACTCTTTTGCAACATCCCTGAATTCCTGAGGCTTGTCTGTGCTGTCCTGTGAGGCTGGCCATGCTGCATGTCCCCTGTGTCTACTTCCCCCTGCCCTGTCCCACATCACACCTATGACATGTGGGAGGCATGTCAGAGACCCCTTCCTTAAGCTATGTACACCCTTATCCAGTGACATCCAGCACAGTGCTGCAGGGGACTGAGCTTCTCTGAACTCACAGGTATGTTGGATGCAGGCAGGCAGCACGATACACAGCTGTGTTAAATGAACATGCTGGGAGGTCTCCAGCAGGGTTCAGTGGGGGAGTTACATGATACCTACCACAAAATTCAAACTCTTCTGTGTGTTTTCAGCTCAGTCAGGGCCTTATGCAATGAAAAGGAAACTCAAGTCTTGAATGACTCCCATCCCAACAGCCAGGATGTCCAGTTGTGCAACCCCCAACTTCTTTTACTGTAAGAATGCTTCTTTGGCACCTGCTGGGATGACCACAGCTGCAGTAACAGAGCACAAACTGCAGAGAACTACACACCATTCCTAGGCACCACCATTAGATCCTTATGTTCTACATTTATTTCAACAGTCCTTGAATGACAAAAAACCCAACAGTACCATACTGAGAAAAGGCCCCTCAAATGCTTCCAAAAGATACCAAGTGCCAAAACCCCAGCATAGTGAAGGTGTATGGTACTACATTAACTACTGTATGCTGCAAGTGAAGCTACGTCAGGTATTAGAGCGCAAAAAAGCATACACAGCTGAAAGAAAATACAGATTGGTCAGCAATAACCATGCTTCATCCTTATCTAATCCTGTGCCAGACCTTAACCGCTGATAACTTCAAAACACTTAAGACATTCTGATGAAGCCTCTGTCTTATATCTTGCTTTGACACCCATATGATTTCTACAGGTACCTCAACACTTGCCCTTATCCTTTCCACATATTCCGTCCTGAGCTGGTTACCATTTTTGGCTTTATCAGTGCCAGATATATCCAGCTGAGCTTGACCACCTAATTACAAACATATAACTCTTTTGTCAGGCTTTGACTGGCAGTAACACTGCAATGAGCCACCAACCAAAACTCCAGGAAAATGAAATTAAACTGCTTGTGAGATCAGTGGGTGCAGCTACATCACTAATTTAGTTTGATGATGAAGGGGTTCTTTCAAGAGAGAGGTTGTCTTGTGTCCATACTTGGTGTCCTGTGATACTCTCATGAGCACAACACTGGTCACTCTGAGCCCTTTCCCTCCTCATGGAAACAAGAAACATGGAGCAGCCAGCTCTCAAAACATGCCCAGAGAATCTGAGAAAAGAAACTAGTGTGAAATTCATGCTGATAAAACACAGTGTGGACACAGGTTTAGGGACATGACAGATGAAATCAAATCTAACTCCACATCAGTTAGTAAAGCAGATGCGCCGAGTTCACTTCTTCCTGCTCCTCAAGGAATGAATTAAATGACTCAACAAAACTGCATCGAAGAAGGAGAACAAGTAGAAATAGAACGATAAACAGAGTAATATATTCTCTCTCATTTTTGTTAATAGTTCTATAAAGAGCAAAGAACAGTCATGTCACAAAATGGAGAACAGTGTGTAGCTCAGTGAGAAGTACAGCCACCTAAGCAAACTCACTAAATGTGCCTCAGATTGAGTGGCTACCCGAATCCAGAGCAAAGGCTTGCAGCCCTTTGGGGAGGAAAAACTGAAAAATGGAGCGCTCTGAGCACGCTTACAATTTAATTTTCACTGCTCTCTGAATGGTGTCTCAGCCTAATATTTATCAGTTTAGAAACTGAATTTGGTCCCTGTTACTAGTAATCAAATCAATCCATTATTCTCTTCACAAAACATAACAATATTTTGAAGTTCTTCCACTGTTTTCTTGGTGAAGCAACTGTTAAGAGCGCACTTGCTGCCTTCCAACCTCCTCCCGTAATATCAACCTGCGAACTGTGGTTATCAAATCATAGGGCTTTATTGCCTATCCAACTAGATAGCAAGGCTATCCACTATTATGCCCATCATCTGCTTCAGTGAGCCACTTCTTGGTTCGCTAGCTACTCCATTAGATTCCAGTCTTTCCCATCTGTAGCAGGTTAAGACAGTCCACACTGCCCGAGGAAATTTCTTAAACAAATTTTCTTTTACTTTTTCAAATCTAGGATTTTGACACCCAAAGGCTGCAAAATCTTGCACTGGAGGAGGGTGGTCATTGCTTAGCCCCAGGCATACTTATTTTGCCTAAGCTTCATACCTTATTAATAATATGACATCCTGTTTTATGATACCATTGCTGTTTTGTTTGTTACAGAAATGCCCCAAATATGATCAAACTTAAAATGAAAACTGAACACATTTTGGGCTTACCTACTGCTCCCCTTTATTTATTTCCCCTTTTCTGCATGCACACTGACAGAACACTCGACTGAGCTGCTGTCAGTCTGGAGCACTCTGGGAGGAGCCCCTCTTTTCTTTTAAGCTTCCTACTGCACCGAGGAGTGCCACTGTATGCAGAACAGCGTTTACATGGAAGGGAATGCAAGGTACAGAACTCTAAAGAGACCTCAAGGGGGAACTCACTGTGTAAACCTGCAATTTGGAAAATTTCCTGAGAGACATGATCTGTGGATTAGAGCCTTCAAACATAAATCTGTGGATTCCCAAGAGCATTTGCTAATCTCTGGGCACATTATCAAAACTAATCCTTCTTTTGGTCTCTGCTGAAATGAAAAGTGAATGTACTTTCAATTATTTCAAAAAATGGATGGGAGTTTCTGGCTCTATGAGATCCAGGTTTTGGATTCCAGCTGGATGGAGTCATCTTCCAGCAGTCCAAAGAGTAAAGTGAAGAAGGGTGGGTTTTGAGCTGTTTCAGAGTGCTTACTGCTGCTATCGGCTGGCTGTACGTGTGTCTCTGCTCATCTGAACTGATATTCTGAGCTCT